TTGTATTAGTTTTTAGTAAATGAAAATTATTTTTTCATTATCGTACTGTCGAATCTACCTAACCACACGCGTATTGTTATTGTATGATATGGTGTTATAGTATTATAAACATTCAGATTCAGAAAAAACAAATATGATCTTTTCAGATTGATCGCTGAAATGTTCAAATTAGTCACTTAATTTCATAATATTTACCTCGTTAGTCACCGAAATCAATTCCGTGAACCTCGACTAACAGACTCGACATGAACATCGTATGCCAAAGCAGAGTCGTCAAAAAAAGAAAAAAAACTTTCATTTTAAAATCAATGATCATTATGAGAGTGTGTTTGGGAGAAAATTTTGTGGGATTTTAATCAAAATTATAGCCGTTAAAGTCAACTCGTGGGCTCCATCTATAAGATGGAATGTCAAAAATGGTGGCTGATTTGATAGTTAATCGCTAGATTTTTTATTAAAATCCTGATTAAAATTTCTCCTAAACAGGGCCTGAGTATGTAAATATCGTACAATAACAGTAGTGCTATTTTTTTTAAATGTCCTCTAAGCAAAGTTGAGAAGGAAAATTAGAGTGCGTTTAAATGGAATAAAAACTCTTGTCGATTTTGCCTACATGGACATGANNNGTCGATTTTGCCTACATGGACATGAATGCTTACATAGTTTTAAATCTGGGTAGCAAGGAAGAAAGAAAGACTATCTAAATTGATAGTTCAACTTTATCTAATTCGACAAGAACTTGATAGATATTTTAAAAACTTGTATAGAAAGGAAGGAACAATTTAAAAAAAATGCTTTTGAAAATTTCGAAAACGAACACTATCAATAAGCTAAAAATAATTAATTCAAATTATTTTCTCGCTTAAAAAAATTTGATTTGCAGAATTTCTACTTGTACAAGTAGTATAGTTTATATGCTAGTTTGAAAAAACTTTAAAAATTAAGGTCAAAGTTAATTATTAATTTTTAATTTCCATATTTTTTGAAGTTCATAATTTTAATTAAATTCTCAACTATATATTCAATCAAATATTATCAAAATATTTAATATCCATTATAATGAGTTTTTTGGGATAATGTATTTTGTAATAGTGATTTTTTTGAAAATGTGTGGTTAAAAAAAAAAAGGAGAAAATTTGAATTTTTATATTTAATATTATTTTATTAAAAAAATGTGGGATTAAAACGAGACAAGAGAAAAATATATTAAATTGCTAAATATTTTATCGAAGTATTACCAAATAATCCCTAAATGGGCCAGGTAGTATTGAAGATAGGGTTAATTTCAGAAATTGTCACTAAAGTTACAACAAAATTACAAAATGGTCACTGAA